AAGAAAGGATTGTGAGAGCTCCCCTCACTCTGCTGATTTATAGAGGAATAAAGGAGAGAAAGAAGATTAAAAAAATTAAAAAAATGGAATGATGGCATGGTGGGTTTGGTGTGGCAATTCAGGAACTGTGGGTTGTTGCCCACGGTTTCTTGTTGTTGTTGTTGTTGTTTTTTTTTTTTTTTTCACGTGATGGGGTGGGGGGAATGGTAGGAAAATGATTTATTATTAAATGAAAATAAACACCAATATGATAGATATAAAAGAGATGAGATAAATACGAATAAATAATTTAAAAATTAAATCTTATACACTTCCTTCCCCAATAAAAATGGCATAGGTGCAACGCGAGGAACTGCTCTTAGACTTCCGAATACCTCACTTAAATATTTGCTCAAAGTGTGAATGCTATATAGGTCCAAGATGTGTTCCACATGTTTTAGCCGACAACAAAATATTTTGGGTCTCCATCCATGGAGTCATCAAGGTCTTATCTTGGTTGATTTTAATAATATCTCTAATACACTAGACATCTTCAATATATCAGTTATATAATATTTGTTTGTTAAAATGTCTAATTAACTCATTTTTTTTAGAATAATACTTGGGACTCTCAAAATTTGTAACCCCCACAACCTCCAATTTATTTGTGACCACTAATTATTTTTTTTTATATTTTTTTCCTCTCTCTCTCTCTCCTCCCTCTCTCTCACAAAATGTGTGGGGGTTCTGGGGTCTCTATCACCACTGTTTATTATTATTATTTATTTCTTGAGTAATATTAGAGACATTAAGAGATTTATTAATATTTTTATTAAATGTCTTATATGAGTGAGAGTCTCATACCTATAGGAGACATTTAGTAAAAATGATTTCTTGAGATGCCTAACATTTTTCTTATTTGTTTCTACCCAATGCATAGTAGAGGTGTGTTCATAGTTTGTTTGCTACCAAATTTGAAACCAACCCAATCATAATCGATTTTGAGTTTTTGGACTTAGAACTAAACCAATCATGTACTAAAACCAATCCAACCCAACCCAAACCAACTTGGGTTGATTCGAGTTGAAACCACGATTCCACTATATTAAAAATAAGCAAATCACTCAATAATAAATAATTAAAATAAATAAGTTTTTAACATTAAACATGCCACAAACTAAGAGTAAAATATTATTTAATACAAGCCAATACAAATTAAATCTATTAATACAACTAATACAAATTAAATCAACTACAAAATCTGACTCAAGCTTCTAATACTTTTTTTGTTTACCTGATAATTTTGTATATAAAAATTATAAGTGTAATCAAAATTCATTGTAACATAACAATAAGACAAAAACATGTCAATATAAATAAAAATTTAAAAAATATATACATATATACAAATTGGTTTGATTTAGGCGGCAAAAAAAAAAAATTATGACTTGTCTCAATCCATGAAGTCATCACAGTCTTATCTTGGATTTAGGAAAAAGTTTGAGACTCTCATTTTAGGCACCCTCATGACCTTTAAATATGTGTGATTGGCCCATGTGTGTTTTATTTTATTTTATTTATTTATTTATTTTTCCTCTCTCTCACATAGAATGATGTGGGGGTCGTAGGGGTGAAGTTTTTGTAGAGATCTCAATTATTACTCGTAGATTTAATGGCATCCCTAATACACTGGATGTCATCAATATACCATGGTGGATTTAATAGCATCCCTAATACACCAGACGTCTTCAATATACCGTTTATATAATGAATAAAGATTGATTGAGACTCTAAAGAAAACTCTAGTAATGTAACAAGGAGCGAGGCCCATATGTGATGTGATATGTGTGTCTATATTTTTGTTTTATTTTTTTTATTTTTTTCTCTTACCACATCACTAGAGCTCTCTTTCAAACTTCAAAATTAGAACTCTCTATCATTGTTGTTATATAATCCTTGTTACTAGTTAAAATGTCTAATTAACTCATTTTCATTTTCTTATTTGTTTCTTCCCAATGCATACTGTACAAATTTTTTGTTTCAGTTTGAAGTATTAACCAAACACTAGAAAATAAAAAGATTATTTTAGTGCATTGTAGGTATACAAATACATTAAAACAAATGAAACCTATATGTTTTTTTCATCTATTTTTAATAAAATGGACAAAATATGATAAAATTACATCGGGGTATTTTTTTTATTTTCATAAATCGTACTTCTACTATCTAAATCTATTAAATTAATAATCGACACAGAGGAACTTCCAAACTCTAATTATCATTGTACAAAGTTCAAAAAAAATATAATAATCTAAATCTATTTATTTATTTATTTTTTTAAAAATAACTCTTTGTGTCATAGATATTAATATTTTAAAAATTCAATAAATGTGCCATGCCATTTACACTATCAAGTTCTTTGAAAACAATTCAAGCCACCTGCCAAAGTGGTGCAATGATGTGGACACCGTGAAGCTCGCTTTCTGCCAAATTCGAGGGAAGTATCAAATGGATCCATACCCGCATATAATGAAAGGTGCCCATCTCTTCCCCAAAAATACTCTAGGCCTAAGGGTTGCTAAAATGACTTCTGATTTGGTTGTCCTGTTTTGGAGTTTTTATACCACTGCTTTGTATTATTGATTTTTCTGTATATCTTTTCTGATGCGAAGGTTTGAAAGATTCCAAAATGATCAGTCGAATGTTGTCTGTAAATTTGCTACCACGATACACATGGGGAGTAATGTCAATTTCATTGCTGTTTATAGCACAATTAAAAAGTTGGAATTTGAAAATTTCATTGTTCTTGAGGCTTTTGGAGTCCATGTCATATGTTGAAATCACATCCACATCCGAAATCAAGGTTTCTATTGCCTTAGCACTACACTATTGTTCTTTTTGTTGTGCAGAATAAAATAGATAAATAAGAGGAGAGAAAAGAAAGCTATTGAAATTCTGATTTTATGTTGTTTACATCTAGAAAATCAGCCACAAGATGATGCTTAGACTTCTTTTTTTTGGAGCACTTTGTATGATGTTAGTGGGTTATTAAGTTAGGGTTAGCTCAACCGGGCATTCAACGCTTCTCCATAAGCTCGAATGCCAAACCTCCCTCTAGAACCTGGAAGTACATCCACTTGAGCTATGCTCAAATTCAGATGATGCTTGAGAATTTATAGAAGATGACGTTTCAAAAGGAAAATTTAGACTTGAGAATTTATATAAGATAGATAGCAACCTAGTTGGTGCAGAGTCCTTGATACTGTAGCTGGTTTTGATTAATTCAATTCTTGTGGTTAATTTAGGAACTTTGATTTTATTGTTATCACTATATTAACTATTTTAGTATGAGAATGGAACTTGTTGGTATTATCCTTACTGGTGAATGGGACTGGTTGAAATTCTGTTTCAATAGCATTAAATCATTTTTTGTTTTTCGCCTCATGATTCATTTGATTAAATTTAGTTTGAAATCGACTCGAAATATAAACAAGCCAAGTTCATTAAGTTTTCAAGTCAAACTTGCACAACTTATTTACTAAGTTCAACTTGACTCGTTTACAAGGTTCTATGTAAAAGTGTTAGACATAAGAGCAATGCTACGTGCACGAGAAAAAAATACACACACAAACATGCACACTTAAAAATGAACAAAACACAACACAAATTCATTTTTTTCATACGCTTTTGTTTATACTTTTCTGTGCACTACCATTATTGTTAGAAGAAGAATAAAGAGATAAAATAGAAGAGACATTTAAAAGATGGTTTGATAATAAAATTTGATACCAAGACAAAAAAGCAGTCGTACATAAAGAATGAGGTCCATCAATGAGTCATGAAAATAGACCTCATTCATTATATACAATCTCCATCAAGATTGGAGGAAAAATTGATTTAAAAAATAGCCAAGAAGTTAATCCCAAGGGGTTGGCCTGGTGGCAAGGTCTTAGGTCTTGGGGTTGTGCTCCCTCCAAGGTTCAAGGATCAAAATCTCTTAAATGCTAACAATTCATTGGGGTCATTAGATTTGGAGAAAACCCTTGCATTAACCGTGATACGCTTGCAAGAAACTCCTTGCCAAGGGTCTATGCACCCCTGGTGATTAGTGGGGCTTTATTCTGGATACCTTAGTGCCAATAAAAAAATAAAAAAAAAAAGCCAAGAAGTTGTCCAATACAAACATGTCCAGAACCACCTCACCAAACGTAATGTAATAAAATAAAAATGTTACAATTATTATATTGATTAAATTTTTTTCATGGATAATATACATTGTAATGGACTCGTGATGGGCCCTTTGGGCATGAACTTGAGAGACATTCAACTAAAAAAAAAATCACAATTATTGGCTTGATTGAATAAGGTTTGAAGAAAAAATGTGGTAGCTGCGAGCTCATATTCCCTCTAATCATTAACCAATCATCTCTTTTATATGGTACTGAATCTAGAAAATGAGTTTAGAAAACTTGTATATCATTTTCCAAAATCAAAACAAGTATAGTAAGTTACCAAATGGGGGGAGTGGTCGGAGGTGGTTGTAGGAGCGGAGATGTTGGCCAGAGGACGGAAGGGTGAGGGAGGTAAGAAGGAATGAAACTTGTTTTGAAAATAAGTAAAACCACATTTTTCTTATTTCCTCAATTTTTGAGAACTATAGCCAGTTTTTTTTCAAGTGAACAATTAGCAAACAGTTTTTTTTATTTCAATTTTCAAAAAATTTAAAGCTAAAGCAAAATAAATAAAATAATATAAAAACCTCACCAAACGAACCCTAAGATTACAATCCCAATTTAAAAACTTGTGAAGTTACCAACTCTCTAGGATCAAAATTAGGAGGTCAAATAACAAGCTCCCGATCTTCTGAAAAAAATGGAAAGGAGAAGAAAAAAAAGTCAAAAATTTGATATCAATATGAATACAAGAAGTCAAGTACCAAGAGCACATGAAAATAAATAAATACATAAAATGCATTCTAAATATAGTGGTTTCCAATATGGTTAGAGCTATCTCCTCTCTCGCTATAGATAATTTCCTTGCATAGAGCCAGACATTGTGTCCCCAATCCAAACTTCTGGAATGTGTGCAATTTTCCAATAATTCCCACCTTCTAAGTTTATGTCCAGGCTTAAACTCAATCCATACGATATATCAACAAAATAAAGAGATTTAAGGTTGGTTAGATGTTCAATGCCATAGGGTAACTCCTCTACCAATTTACATTCACAGATAAATAACTCTTCAAGATGAGGCATCGAGCCAGCTTCCACTTTCACCCATCTCAATCTTTTTAATCCCGCAAGTCCTAATCTCACAAGTCTTTGAAATCCACCAGCCTTGAAACACAATTCTTTCCCTTCATATGTCCGACGAAGTTGAAGTTCAACCAAATTGGGCAAACCTTGAAGGGATTCTAGTGGATCAACATCCTTCAACTTACTCCATGCTAAAATTACTCTTACCAAGCTGTGCAATGAAGGTATCCAATGCGGTACCTTATGTAATCTTCCTACTAGGTAGAGCGTTCGAAGAAGTTGAGGAGTTGAAGAAAGAGAATCTAGATCAATGATCTCGTCTTCTCCTGCTGCACGAACAACCAATGAGCGAAGGTTACTAAGCTTCTCAAGGGACGAGCATAACACCCTCCCATCTTCATTTCTCAGTTTTTCAATGCGTAATTTCCTCAGTTGAGTCAACTTCCCTACCTCTCCTAGTAAAATGGTTCCATTATCATGGTTTGTTTCAATAGAACAAAGTTTCTGTAAGGATGACAAACTTCCTATTTCCGTCGGGGCTTTGAATCCACAATGGTGTTGAAAACAAATGGAAGGAACAAGATCTTGTTTGTAGCGATACAACAAGATATGGCGAAGTTGTTGGAGCTTGAGGATATCATCAGGCAACTCAGTGACATACGTATCTTTAAGGTCCAATGTTTCCAGGTTTTGGAGCTTTCCAATCGACTTCGGAATTACTTTTACATTGGTTCCCCTCAAACTTAAATACCTGAGTTGAATTAGTTTCAGAACTTCATTTGGGAATGTCTCCAACAAGGCACCTTTCAAGTCTAGCACGGTTAGCAACTGTAGACCATCATTTGATGATGCGAGCATGGAGAACTTGGACATTGAATCTGTTGCATTGAACAAAAGCAAAGAATGAAGTCGAGTGAAACACTTGCTTTGTTGTGTATTTTCCAAATGATTGTGGATTGATAAGCGCCGCACCTTTTCGGGCCACACTCTTCTTTGTTCATCAGCTATTGTCACAATGTTTTGCTCTCCTGACTGTTAGGGAAAATCCGAGATTCCCCACAAGTAAATCAATCAATGGGAATAAAAACTAATGCGGAAAAATTAAATCAAAGGCAACACAAGAATTTTTACGTGGTTCCCTCAATGTGAGGTACGTCCACGGGATCGAAATCCGATTCCACTATCAACCAAATAATTCCAAACGATTACAAACGAGACACTAATGGTCTCACAAAACACCATTAGGTGAATTCCAAATAATCACAAATAAACAAAGAGGAAAGACCTCACCAAATAGATGAACCAAAATCTTCAGAACCAAAGTTGAAGAAGATCCAAAATAACGAACCAAATCAACACCGAAAACGAATCAGCTGCTTCAAAGTAAAGCACCAAACCAAGGCATCAATACTTGATTGACCAAGTCAAAAACCCAGAGCAACAATCAGTACTTAATTGAAAAACCCAACAAGTTAGAGTTATATACTAAGCACGGTTGCCGTAACAAATTTGTTGGTGCCGCTAGATATATCACTGGACAAACAAAACAATGTCATATATATAATTGGGGATTGGGTTTTGTAATCAAACCCTAATTGTATCTAAATTAAATTAGATCTCCACAAATATAATATATAAAAATATATTATACCTAAACCAAGTCAAATTATCGAACAATACAGCAAAAAAGTGCATATAGTATGTTTTTCATAATTTTTTCACAAAATTTCATAACTTAAACCCAAAATATCATAATTTTTTCTCTACAAAAGTCAAAAAAAAATTTCATTGAAAAATGTCATAATAAAATCTCAAAGTGTCATAACAAAAATCACAAAATGTCATAACATTATCATTTCAAACTTTAGGATGCAAATCATAAATTCGCTATTTATAACTTTACTAAAAAATATCATAACACATATCACAAACAATCATAATATTCATCATAAAAAATCATAACTTTTTTACAATGTGTGCCATTGAAAGGGTGCACATTGTAAATTTCTCCTACCCTAACATGCCAAACACCAAACAATTTCCAGCATTAGACTGTGAGGTACAAATTTTGCAAATTTGATTGATGAAAGATGAACAAACTTCCAACTTGTTGACCTGACCAAATGGTAGTCCTTTCTTGATTGATGGCTTTTGTTGTTGTGGATGGTTGATTGGAGACCATTTTGAACGGCATCTAAAAAGCATGGTGTGGAATCAGGGTCATGATTTGAATATAAAAAAAGTCATTTATATTCCCAGCCACCCCTATTATTTTAAATATATACTTCCTAGAGCAACTCTCCAACCCCATTCTTTTCAATTCTATTCTTTATTTTAGTTTTTTAAAAGTTTCTTCGAAAGTTAATTTAAGGCTTGCTTTAGTTTGGTTTGATTTCTTCAAAAGTTAATTAAAAATTAAATTATTAATTAAGAATATCCTAAAAAAAACTAATGCTAAAAATACTTACTTGTAGCATCGTAATAATCAGGCAGTGAACCGACTTACAACTCGATAAGCAAATGTACAAAGGCATGATATGACCAAACAAGTGTGAGTACAACTCGATAAACAAATCAAAAACTCAAAGAGAGTGAAATACAACTCGATAAGCAAATGTACAATAACTCGCTAAGCAGATAGGATGTGACTCCGCATGAATCGATCACCGGGGGAGGGATCGAAGGTGGTGGAGTTCCCCAATCCCTAGCATAAACAGCTTAGGGAACCAGGAGGAAGCCCATCGGCCAGAGGTAGAGGCCATCGGCAGCAAGGGATGGCCATTGGCCAGAAATTTGTTCGATCGGCAAAATATAATGGCCGGTCGGCAGAACATTTGGTCGGCCGGCTATGAATGAGGGAATCACCAGAATGTTGACACCTGTCCTCCACCCAACCTTATCTCCTACAAAAGACCTCAGCTTCGTAGTTTTTCTCAATTCCACACTGATTTGCTCTAATGGAAGAGTTTCTTGCTCAAAATCTCACAGCTTGGATTGCTAGCTTGGATGGCTCGGAAAAGTTGAATTTCCAGGGTTTCAGAATAAATGCACTATTCACTCTGGGTCGTACCCCATTGCACCTCCCATTTCTCCATGCTGCGGCAAGGTTTTGGAATCCGGTGACGCATGTCTTTAGCTTCGCTGGGCAAGAGATATGTCCTACCTTTGAAGATTTCCGAGCCTTAATGGAGTCCGAGCGCGACGAGGAGCTCCTACCCCAACTCAATTTTGGCCATGCCCAATCCTTAGGGCAAATGTGTGGACTCA